TATCTATCTATCTATCTATCTATCTATCTATCTATCTATCTATCTATCTATCTATCTATCTATCTATCTATCTATCTATCTATCTATCTATCTATCTATCTATCTATCTATCTATAATGGCTCAATATACCACAGCAGTCAGAGGTGTAATCTAACACAATGGACAGTGCAAATCATAAAGGATCAACGGTATTATAGATCTCATCAGAAAGGATCTTATGCGCTTATTGCAATCAAAAACTGAAATGATATGAAGTGGTTGAGAAAAGGAATAGAGGTTAATTTTAAGACTCTCCTGGGCAGGAAGACACCAAATGAGCAAATAGATCACTAAATAAATAAATCACTATAGACAAAATGCAAATAGGGTTCAACTGTAAAATAACGTAGAGGAGGGGCTCAAAATGATCCCTCTATAGGGCAAAATATGGCTTGAATGTCAAAGGAGCTTTGATCGTATTGAAGGACAATGAATACAGGCAGAAGAACTATAGAGAGGGCAGATATTGTGTTTTGTATGTGCCTGACATCATTCAATGATTTTCTAGAGTGGCTACATTTCATGTGTGCTATTTCGATAGATGGTGTGCAATCTGAGCTTTTGTTCCAGGAATTTACAGGTTCTTCTTTCCAAATGGGCTGCAGTAATGGGCTGTAAAAAGCAGAGCCTCTCTGTCTTCACATATATTAAATGTAATGGATTATTGAATTAATTGGAGTTTTAGAGGCACAGCAGCAAAAAAAAATAAAAAAATAATTGAATATTGAAAATTAAGGGTCAGAGAAAAGGTATAAAATCTCAATTGAAAAATAAATAACTAAATAAAAATACAAATGTAAAGTTCACAAAAAGCTACATTTTGCTGGCTTTTGCAGAACAACATAATTAGGCATGTTTTTATTCAGCACCCACCAGGGCAGTAATTTAATGCCATTAAATAGTTTTGTCACTGCTTTTTACAAAGAAAGCTGTTATCACTCCACAGCACATAAAAGGCTTTAAATCAGTAAGACTTTTGTGGCTCACCCTTTGAAGTGTAAAAGGTTTTTAGGATACAGGGGTTGGACAAAAGAATGTGAACAACTTTCTTTATTAGGGTGTTTCACCACCATTTGCTATTGTGGCAAGGGGTGGTCAGGTAGAGGGAGTTACCAGTAACAAAAGAAACAAATCCTTTACACCGGGACATAACAGCCCAGTGTAACAGGTTCGTTGCCAAAGGCAGGGTATGAGCATGGAGACGTAGACAGAGATATAGACAAATCACTTTATTCAAGCATAGACATTAATAATAAAAACAGTCAATCAATACAATTTCACACAAGGTCTCAGAAATCACAGCACAAACAACACTAGAAACATAGAAAACCATATGTACAATAAGATAAAATAACAAAAATAAAAGAGTTGAGGTGCTCTCTGTGTTCTACCCCACACTCAATACCCACAACCCACACTTGTGAAAGCAAAGAAAAATGTTAAGCACAGCACTCCATATGGACACACCAGTACAGGATTCCATGGCCAACCCCTCCCACTTTAAACACTTAGATCCACACACAAAACAAGACAGAAACAAACTATAAAGCACATACAAATCAATGATAACTTATACACAAAATACTAAAAAACAAAACATAAACACTAAGGAGGGAAACAAAATGTCCAAAAGGTATATATGGCCAGATTACATAAATTTAGCCTCCCAGCTAACTCACGCGCAGACCAGCACAATCCTGTGCCAGTGATTCCAACACAAATAAAACAATACAGACCAAGGTGAGTTGACAAACTATTAAAACTGCAACGAAACAAAAAAAAAAACATAGCAGCAGTGCAGTCACGTCCCTTCATGTACATTTTGCTCCAATTAAAATCATCGGAAACCCCTGGACGTGCAGTCAAACCAAGAGAACTTTACAATACTGCAATGAGTATGGTCGATCGCCACACAGGATTAGAGCTACTTGAAAACTGGCTCAGTCAGTGTACGGCAGATAGGAGAATAACCCAACCGCTATCCCTCATTCAAAATGCTACATGTCACAGAGGGGCAGTACCAAGGATGATGCATCCCAAGCAGCCAAACACTTCCCGTTTTTATATTCAACACACAGGCACCGATAGTGTAAGTCATGAACCTTACACAATACTGACCAATCATAATGAAATACAAACACTGATATGTTCACCGGCTTGGGTAATGCCAGCCAATCACTCTGGGGCTATTCCTCACTCGGCTACACTATGATGCAGAACAGATTCATACAAATTCTTGAATAGTCTCCAGTTGAATATTATATGTCAAAACATCTTGCAGCTGCTTTGGAGATGTTGAAGGAGGAAATCTTCTTTTCAGATGTTGAAGTTCATCATAATGCTCCAACTGTTCACGTTTTATGATCATGACTTTTTTTTTTACAAAAGTAAAATTCTTTCGTGGAAGTTAGGTTTTGAGGAAACAGGAATATTGAAGTTTTTCCATGACCATGCAACATAAACACAAAGAGTAATTGTCTAAGAATTTAGTACATGTTTTAATCTAGAATGTTCCTTTTCTTCATCAAAGACACTCTGATTCAACATTAATCTTGGTATTTAACCCACAAAATTCCTTTAAATTCCTCTGAACAAGTATTGCTCCCATCTTCTCTAATGGTATTTACTATCAGTAAACATTGGTATGACTCATACATGTCTATGCTTTACAGTAATTATGAGTTCAAAGTCCAGTGTACTATCCAACCAGAAGTTTACACACTGAATTTCCATAAACTGTATGTGTCATCTGAGTACTGCTGTAGTACTCATCTGGAATGTATTATGTCCCACTAAAAGATAAAGAAATTGTTCTCAGTAGCGCTCAATAAGAGTGGCTGAAATGGGTGACTTGTTAGACTTCCAGAAAGGACAATACATGGAATCCCATTTATCAGGAGCATCTGTAAGTTTAATTGTTTGATATTTAAAGATAAATAATCTTTACCATTATAACTGCTTACACAAAGCATGGCAAGATTTCATCGGTGAAAACCAAAAGTGAATAATAGGAACTTTTGAACACTAAGAAGGATTGTGTCCAAACAGCAAAGAACTCCTGCAAGAAAATGACAGAAAACCTTTATATTTTTAAGAAAGAA